TTACAGTCCAAAATTCCTGTAATGCAACAACCATCAGTCACAAAAGTAGCTTTTATGTATGTCGATTAATGGTCACATATGAATTCTGCAATTGATAATCCTAAAGTCATATATATAAAATCCTAACAGGCAGTACCCACGTTAACCATGTATGCTTAGGCAAGTTCCATTTCATTAGCTTAAGCGCATCCATTTCTTGCTACTCTTGCAATCCACATTTTTGTTGTCTATTTATTAGGGAGAAAAAATTCATAAAAGTCAGAGCACTCACCTCTTCCATTTGAAGTTGTATGCCCTCTTAGAATTTCTAAGGGTACAATAAGAGGATTCTGGTTAAGTTCAGCATAAACCATGCCATGAAAAACATATGCCATGCAGTCATCCGAGCAAGATGCAAATAAGGGATATGAAAGATGGAAGGTTACATTTGTAATGTCATTAGGATGACACCTGAGAAGAACCAAGAATAGGTAATATATACCAAAATTAAAGTAACATTGAGTTGTGTTAACTAATTGCAGTGCAAAAGAAATACATTGATAAATGAGATAACTACAGAATATATCTAGTTTCAAATAAGATGACATACTTGAGGGCTTCGCAAGGTTTGGAAGAAAGGTCCATGTCAAACCAACATAATTTTCCTTCTTTACTCCCCACAATAACATTATCACCAGCATGGAAAGCAAGTCCATGTATTCAGTGGATAATTGAGGAAAGGGAGCAAGAAATGGTGCTAACAAATTAAATTTAAATCTGTGAAAAACCAGTGAGAAATACCAGCAGGATGAACTGCAATTGATGATACATCACGCAACTTAGTATCAAGCTTTTTCATGAGCTGTTGCTTCAGCAGATCAGCAGATCATATACATGAACAGTCTTCTTTGTTGCAATAAAAAAGATAGAACGAGTGGGATGAAAGAGTGATGATACTGGAACTCCATGGTGCTTAAAAGGGAGTATTTGGGTAACCCTTTTAGAGATCTGATGTATAAGTATTGCTCTTGATTCATGTAATTAACAAGTTAATAAAATCCATCAAACTGTTCAAATCAAATATGTGCAAGCACAAGAATTATAAGTGAAACTTACTAACTTGGACCAAGTAGGAAAATCTTTAGTTTTAACATATGACTACCACCTTACCACCGGGTATATCAATCACCCCAGCCACCAAGTAGATGACGCCTGACCACAGCATTTGCAGTCATCTTGTATTTCAGCAAAAAGGGACCAACAAAGGACCAATAAAAAATGCAAATTTCGCCGGAAGGAACAAGTAGACTTGTTAGACTTGCCACAGTCCCTATCTAATTATGATAAAAGAACAGAAAATATAATAATGCAACACCAGAAAAAGGGTATCTGCTGGCATTACTGTGGATAGATAGTCTCATTTATGATACCACTCTATGCAAGAGAGTCTTGTAGAGCAAAGCCAAACTCCTTTAATTTCTTCCTAAAAGACCCTCCATTGCTTTTCAATGCTATCATTCTCGAAAGAGGGAACTGAAAATACCTTAAAATGCCTTAGCCTGCTTCCCTCATTTTTTTCATCCTGAAGCCAGCTCAAAATGGATGGGGTGTCACCTGTACATCAAATTTTAATTTAGAAAATCAGACTGTTCATTTGATAAAAAAGGAAAAGAAAAGAAAAAGGAAATAATAGCTATTTACACAGACTAGAGCCATTAGGAGCCGTAGGCATCTCAACATGTAGAAGTTCCTTGATCTTTTTATGAACTTCTTCATTCCCAAGCCCAGTGTTCAGAATGACTACATCAGCTCCCCTGAAAAGAAACATGCAGTTATTTTAACATGGAATTGGATCTGATAAAAGAAAGTTGCAAAACCAACTTGTATGGATAAATTATCAGCACCAGCAGACAAAATGTAGATATGCCACCAC